GGGACGGGGAGGGGGCGGGTACAGCTGGCTCTGCCTCTAGATAGGCAGAGCCAGCTGTCAGTCACGCAGCTGGGCGGATCCCGGCACAATTGTCGGGATCCGCTTCAGCTGCGGCGTCTCAGTATACCGCGAGCAGCAGCTACAGCACGCGGTATACTGAGCCTAGGGTGATGGGAGGATGCTAGTTTGTGTCCTCCCGTTACCCTAAGGAGAACTATGGGGAAAAGACTTAACCCCATAGTTCTCCTTTTAAAATGTGGTGCATGGAGCTCAGTTACAATTATTAATGAAAAGATGCAGCTGGATATTTTCGAACATGGGTATCGTACCTTCCTGACTGTTATGCTTCCCTTCATTCCAGGGACGACCATTGTCGTATAAGACATTCCTCATATGGGTTCTGATCAGCATCTACCAAGGTAAGTACGTTCTCTCTGCTCATGGCCTGGCGGAATCCATTACTTGACCTGAAAATTAAAAATAGGTCATTAGTATTAACCTACCTGCTATATAGAGTTTTCTATATTATCCAGAAAGTGAGGACTTGCAGTGCGCTCAAAGTATTATTTACAGAAATTATGTGCTTTACTGATATATTTATTGTGACCAATATATCAGATATTATTCTTTTAAATGCTCCAGAACACCTGTAAAATGGTCTATCAGATTAGGTTGCACAGTGCTGGGATGAGTTATCTAAGGGCTTCATTTGATATTGCCCTGCAATCATTTTTTACCCCCTCCTACAACACCATGGCAAATATGTTGTCTTGCAGATAGATGCCCAGTTTTTAATCGCTGTAAGTGAAGCGTGACGCCATCTTTTGTCACTCGTTTCAAGTTCACATAGCTTTCCGGTGCAGATGATCATGTTCAACTGCAGAAACAGCCAACTGGCCCTCCCCGTGCGAAAGGTTACAGAAACCAGTGTGATGAAACCAGAATGACCATCACAGGATAGTTTAAACCTGCTGCCAGAAATCACTGGTCATATTGGCAGCCAGTGGCCCCCACCGTTCACACCTAAAACTGGTAGAGAAAAGATTTCAGTACAAGGGGCGTAGGGGCTTCTTCTCAGTTAGAGCGGTTAGGGTCTGGAACTCGCTGCCACAAGCGGTGGTATCAGCTGAGAGTGTTGAATCATTCAAAAAGCATTTGGGCAACTTCCTCAGAGACCAAAACATACAGGGGTACAGGTACTGTTAGAAGCAAGAACACACAGGGTACACACACATGCACATGCAGAATCACATACATACATGCAATAGGTTGAACTTGATGGACCTGATGTAACTATGTAATAGACAGTAGTCTGCAGTCCAGCCGGTTTATTCAGACAGTGTTGTTTCTCAGGCTGTTCCGGTAACTCTTCATCTCTCTCCCCTGGGGAGGGGGCGGGTACAGCTGGCTCTGCCTCTAGATAGGCAGAGCCAGCTGTCAGTCACGCAGCTGGGCGGATCCCGGCACAATTGTCGGGATCCGCTTCAGCTGCGGCGTCTCAGTATACCGCGAGCAGCAGCTACAGCACGCGGTATACTGAGCCTAGGGTGATGGGAGGATGCTAGTTTGTGTCCTCCCGTTACCCTAAGGAGAACTATGGGGAAAAGACTTAACCCCATAGTTCTCCTTTTAAAATGTGGTGCATGGAGCTCAGTTACAATTATTAATGAAAAGATGCAGCTGGATATTTTCGAACATGGGTATCGTACCTTCCTGACTGTTATGCTTCCCTTCATTCCAGGGACGACCATTGTCGTATAAGACATTCCTCATATGGGTTCTGATCAGCATCTACCAAGGTAAGTACGTTCTCTCTGCTCATGGCCTGGCGGAATCCATTACTTGACCTGAAAATTAAAAATAGGTCATTAGTATTAACCTACCTGCTATATAGAGTTTTCTATATTATCCAGAAAGTGAGGACTTGCAGTGCGCTCAAAGTATTATTTACAGAAATTATGTGCTTTACTGATATATTTATTGTGACCAATATATCAGATATTATTCTTTTAAATGCTCCAGAACACCTGTAAAATGGTCTATCAGATTAGGTTGCACAGTGCTGGGATGAGTTATCTAAGGGCTTCATTTGATATTGCCCTGCAATCATTTTTTACCCCCTCCTACAACACCATGGCAAATATGTTGTCTTGCAGATAGATGCCCAGTTTTTAATCGCTGTAAGTGAAGCGTGACGCCATCTTTTGTCACTCGTTTCAAGTTCACATAGCTTTCCGGTGCAGATGATCATGTTCAACTGCAGAAACAGCCAACTGGCCCTCCCCGTGCGAAAGGTTACAGAAACCAGTGTGATGAAACCAGAATGACCATCACAGGATAGTTTAAACCTGCTGCCAGAAATCACTGGTCATATTGGCAGCCAGTGGCCCCCACCGTTCACACCTAAAACTGGTAGAGAAAAGATTTCAGTACAAGGGGCGTAGGGGCTTCTTCTCAGTTAGAGCGGTTAGGGTCTGGAACTCGCTGCCACAAGCGGTGGTATCAGCTGAGAGTGTTGAATCATTCAAAAAGCATTTGGGCAACTTCCTCAGAGACCAAAACATACAGGGGTACAGGTACTGTTAGAAGCAAGAACACACAGGGTACACACACATGCACATGCAGAATCACATACATACATGCAATAGGTTGAACTTGATGGACCTGATGTAACTATGTAATAGACAGTAGTCTGCAGTCCAGCCGGTTTATTCAGACAGTGTTGTTTCTCAGGCTGTTCCGGTAACTCTTCATCTCTCTCCCCAGGGAGTATCATCATGTATGGTGCTTTGCTGCTGTTCGAGTCCGAGTTTGTCCACATCGTGGCCATTTCTTTCACGTCCCTGATCCTGACCGAACTACTAATGGTAGCACTGACCATTCAGACGTGGCACTGGCTGATGATTGTGGCGGAATTCCTCAGTCTGTCCTGTTACGTGGCCTCCCTCATGTTCTTACATGAGTTCATAGGTGAGAAACATGAGTTGTAAACCTCAGCTTAATCACACCCAAGAACACCAACATTTATGGTCTGCTCCTATACAAGCCCTGTTCTCCGTAATCTCGTAGGACCCTCTGACTTTGCAGCCCTGTAACCTGCTGGGACATGTGTGGGAAGACGGGGGAGTAGGACACTTGGCTTTCTTGCACTGACAGGCCACTTATTCTGAATGTTTTACCCCTTAAATAGCCAGCCACTATGTAATTATTATAAATAAGCTTGTAAAACAGTTACTAATATTTACAGATGAATATCTAAATGCGTCTAGGGCTTTATCATATATGACGCATGCATGTTTCCCCATAGTTCTCCTTAGGGTAACGGGAGGACACAAACTAGCGTCCTCCCGTCACCCTAGGCTCAGTATACTGCAAGCTGTAGCTCCCTATATACTGAGACGCCGCAGCTGAAGCGGATCCCGACAATTGTGCCGGGATCCGCCCAGCTGCGCGAGTGACAGCTGGCTCTGCCTATCTAGAGGCAGAGCCAGCTGTACCCGCCCCCTCCCCGTCCGTTCCTCCAGTCAGCGCTATCGGATCGGAGCGGGGGGAATCCAGCCCCTCCCCTGTCACGGCAGAGAGCCGTGACAGGATCGAGAGGTGAGCGAACGCCTGTATGTGTTCGCTCACCTCCCGATCTACTGAGCCGACCTGTGACAGTCTCATTGTCACAGGTCGGCTAGAACTATGAGGTGAGTGAAAAGCACCCCCTCCCCCCTCATAGTTCTCCTTTTAAGCTATTTTTAGGCGTCTCTTAGCCTCAATAAATGCCATATACAGTATTTCACAATGCAGAAATCATTTAGACACATATTTTTTAGGGAGATTCTTCACCCTAACTGTGGCACATGACCAAATGAACCGTGCCATGAGACCAAATATGCCGACTGCTTGCATAGAAACAGGAAGTGAGAGGAAATGCCTCCAGATTGAGGGGAAGTTCCCTCCTGTAGTTGTTATTGCAACAGGTGTCCCCATTGGAAGATTTCCCTCACCTTGTGTTCTGGTGACGACTGCTAAATGTTGGATTTCCCACCACTTTCTGTTTCGGTGACAACGTCCTTCAGGACAAATAGAGTGAATAAAACCTGATAGGGGTTCTAGCCCTTCCCTACTCCAGTGTAGGAAGTTCCAGAGCTTTTCTAATCAGAACTGTCCACCGTCTGACTGTAGATGGGGCAGTAATGGAACCACTAGGTGTCTGTACTTTATATATACCAAAGTGCTTCTCAACCACGACCTAACCTTTTTTCAGCCATGGCACCTTTTAAAATTATGCAAAATCTTGAGGCAGCCCGGTCTAAAATGTAAAAAGTGTGTGGTCACTTCAAAATCTATACCAGACCCTTATCCCAGATAGGGTTTGGTATAGATTTTAAGGGTGGGACCCATCCAAAAACACACACACAAAAATGGAGTCCCCCTTTTACATCAGTGTCCCCCCCCCCTTTTACACCAGTGTCCCCCACCCCCTTTTACATCAGTGAGTGCCCCCTTCAAATCAGATGCCAGCCTGCACCATGGAATGGCATGACGCTGCGTACAAATTTTGAAGAACACACGAGGCACCCCAAGTTTGAGAAATGCTGCCCTACTCCAACTAAATGTAAAACAAAATTGTTTTTGCTTTTAGATGTTTTTTAATGTTATTTTTGGCTCTCCACGTATGTGGCAGATAGCAGCAATAATGCTCAAAGTGCAGCAACTAGATGTCCGCGTACTGAAGCCAAGTAAGGTGCTCTGGTTGGCTGTTTGTTGGTTGCTGCATTTTTTGCATTGCTCATTCCCTTTTTATACTTATGTATCTTGCTTTTATAGTACTTTAAAATACCAGGCACGGTTTGGTCAGTATATTTTTCTTTTGGATTAATGTTCTCGGTCAGAGTGAAAGAAGCAAATCTGTTTTTCTGTTCCCCCTTGGTGGATATAAATCACGAAGATAACAAAGTGTTGTTTTGTGCGGTCTACAATCTGTCAGTCATCGTCTAGTATCACTCCGCACCCGCTCGCTTTATCTAAACCCACAAGATGTCTGTGCTGACCTCAAAT